TTCTCTTTCATATATTTGACTTCTTTTTACATTTTGATGACGTCATCATGGTTAAAAAAAATTGGTTTTTTTTTTTACCCCCTCATTTCTCTTTCTTCAAAACGTTGATGACCCCATATAATCTTAACCATTCGTCATTTCCAAATCATATTAGGTGAACATAAGCTTCAGGTCAAGGTTGAATTTTATGTACTTTAATTTTCTGTTCGCGCCTTTAAGCGTGCACATACGCGTGCGTCAACTTTTATATATGCATAAAACCATGAATATTTTTAATCAGTTATAGCTCCTTAGGATGAAAGGTGACCCCCTATTTTTATTACATAATCTGAAACACATGAGTTGTAGATACGATTTTTTACTTCATAATGGCTGATCGGACATTGTGACGTCATCATATTGCCATTTGAATTAAAAAACTGAATTTTTATTTATGATGCCATTATGTTTAGACTCGTCGTTTGAACGTATCTCGCTTATTCTTGATTGATTGTCTCCCACCTGTGAGTATGTTATAGCTAAATCAATTCTCTTGAAAACGTGTCCATTTATTTTTCATTTTGATCACGTCAACATGGTCAAAAAGAATGAATTTTTGGAGCCCTTTTATCTCTCTCTCTTAAAAGATTTAAACAATAGAGCAGAGTGAGGCCGGCAGACTGTATTTCGACGCTATCAGACTATATATATATAGGTTATGTGAAGGGAAAGTTTGTGTGGCATTACCAACTAACAGGCGGTTTTAAATACACTTGACAATGTTTAATTTCGTGTGATATTACTGTACACGCACACATGGTGATGTGCGTGTCTGTTAACATTAGAAAATTCTCGATATTACTATTCAGATAGTTTAAAGAACGTTTCGGGTCATTTTTAGCATTTCAAAACTTTCCATAATTTACCCGCCGTACGTTCATTTCCACGCACACAGCATATATGATATTAAAGCTGGAATTCATGTTTTGTTACATACTTTGTGTTCCTGACACATTATTCATATCAGGAGTCACTCTTTGTGCTATTACCGTGCTCACGGGCGTCAAGACGTACGTGTACACATGCGGAAATCTTTTAAAATGCTCAAAATTCTTCTTTTAAAAAAAAAATAATTACAGCATATTTTAGCATATTATGACACTTTTCAATCAGCACCGCGTGATCTTAATGAGGGTCAAATTTCGGCGGATCACCTAACCGATCGTCCTCAGTGACGAGTTCAAATCTAGTTATTATATTTAGCTCAATACGTTACTTTCACATTATTTATCACTGTAAAAACTTACATATATTGCAAGTTGGTCCAACAAAACCAGGCATACACTGACAGTTCTCGATTCCGTAATCCGGGACACAGACTCCGCCGTTCAAGCAGTCAATATTGCAAGTTTCTTCAATTAGAAATTAAACATTAATTAGTGACATACACTTTTTGTATTAAAATAACATCATTGCTCATCACAATACTAATTGTATAAAATTATTATTGTTATGAAAATCGCATTTGTCTTTATAAATACATTGATTATGTAAGAGATAGATTATTGTCGGTGCTTTTGAGCCAGCTTAATACTAAGATTTTTGAAAATTGATGTAGGAATATAATAGTAGTTCTATCTATACATATGTTTAAATTATATAAACGCATGATGATGACTATTATATACAGTTTAGAGATCAAGGAACATAATATGATGTACATACATAGAAACAATATATATTTATCTGGCATATACCTGATATACCATGCCTATATCAAGTATAGAAGAAGTTACAACACTCAAACCATGAAGCAGCCAAATGCTTAAAACATCATAAAAATGAAGGATGAGAAGTGCATTAAAGATTTCGAAGAAGCATTCAATCAAAAGTATGAACAACTAGAATTGATCAATGAAAATACATAACAGATATGGTACCATCTGAGAGCAGTGATGTATAACTTAGCACTAGAAAGCTTTGGAAAGAAAGCAAGACGTGATGAAGAATGGTTTCAAACCTATTCACCTCAGCTCGAACCTTTGATCAATGCAAAGAGGCATGCCTATACCAACTATAACAGGCATGCAACTTGCCAGAACCTTCAAATACTATTACAAGGCAAAGTGTGACCTGCAAAGAGCTTCTCGGCATTATGCTAACTTATATTGGACAAACATATGTGAAGGAATAAAGATAGCTGCTTATAACGGAGATGCAAGGAACATGTATGAGGGTATTTGAAAAGCGCTTGGACCAAGGATAGTGAAAGTATCACCATTGAAAGCCTCCGATGGATCCATGCATGATAGACAAGTTCAGTCAACTGGAAAGATGGGAAGAACACTACATGGACATTTATTCCAGGGATGCTCCAATCGACAAATGAGTGCTTTAGATTAAATACCTCGCCTCGAGCAAATGCACCATCTTGACTCAGAGCCTGATATTGAAGAATTCAGCCGGGCTATAGACTCCTTGTCTAACAACCAGCACCAGGGACAGATGGTATACTGTACCATCAAAGGGGTGCAGGTCAACTCGGCCACAAGTCAACTCGGCCACAGTCAACTCGGCCACAAGTCAACTCGGCCACAAGTCAATTCGGCCACAAATCAACTCGGCCACAAAAAGTTCGGCTACAGCCAACTCGGCCACAAGTCAACTCGGCCACAAGTCGACTCGGCCACAAGTTATCTAATGTAGATCCCTGTAGTTTTTGCATCCTTTTTCTTCAATATAATGATTAAAATAAAGTACAGTATATTTTAGCAAAACAGGACCACCACACTACCAACAGAGATTTGAATGCTATTGCCTTTGAATTAAAAAGAGTTATTTATTAATGTGTTCGTCTTCTGTTTACTCACAACATTCTACTTCAACAATAATATTAAACAATAATAACGACAATAAATTAATAATATTTACTTTAATAATACTAATTAGTCATTATGACGACAATAAAGGTGATAACAACAATAACAACATTAATAGTAATATTTATTTTAACAATACTAATAGTAATAATACTAGTATGGTAATAATAACAATATTATTTAAATATCAATTTTAATAACAACTTAGTGATAATAATGATATTGAAGGTACTAATACTAATAATACAACAATAATAAATTAAAGATGTTTATTTTTATAATAGTAATAGTTAGTAATAATAATAATAATGATACTTAAATACTAGGCTTACTTAGTAATAATAGGGTAATAATATTGATAATAAAGGTGACAACAACAACAACAACAACAATAATATTATTAATAATAATAATATGAGAAAAATACCAATAAAACACCAATAACAATAACTTTTAAATTACTATTATTAAAATAATAATACTAAGACTAATAAATAATAATAATAATAATAATAATAATAAATCGAAAATTATTTATTATTTATATGGTACTGTAATACAATACCGTATATAATGGTAATGCTAAGACTAATAATTAATATTAAAACTAACGGTAATAAAAACAACAATAACAACAATGACAACAATAATAACAGCAATAATAATAACAATAAGTATAGTAATACTTAAAGAATTAGTATTTTATACTTGATGAATTTCTCCTTCAAATTGTAGTACCAGTAAATGACTTGTGGCCGAGTTGACCTGTGGCCGAGTTGATTTGTGGCCGAGTTGACTTGTGGCCGAGTTGACTGTAGCCAAACTTTTTGTGGCCGAGTTGACTTGTGGCCGAGTTGACTTGCGGCCGAGTTGACTTGTGGCCAAGTTAACTTGTGGCCGAGTTGACTGTGGCCGAGTTGACTTGTGGCCGAGTTGGATCGAATTCATCGGAACTATTGAAAGAGCTAAAAATGCTCTGATACTACCTTTATTCAATCTACCAGGTAATACAGTGCTGAAGGACAGGAGACATTCCACAAGATATGAGAGATGCTCTTATTGTTAATATCTATAAGAACAAGGATCGATCAGACTGTAACAATTACAGAGGAATCTCACTCTTGAATATAACTGGAAAAGCAATCGCAAAGGTCATAGCACAATGATTACAACATGTTGCTGAGCGCATATACCCAGAATCCCAGTGCGGTTTTCGTGCAAAAAGATCCACTAATGACATGATATTTTCCTTGAGACAACTACAGGAGAAGTGTAGAGAACAAAGAAAACCGCTATATATTGCCTTTGTGGATCTTACAAAGGCCTTTGATATGGTGAATAGGGAAGGCCTCTGGATGATTCTTGAAAAAATTGGTTTTCCTCCCAAGCTCGACCTTCGGTCAATTATTTATAGATAGGCTTTCATAGTATATGCATGGATATATAAAATCAGAACAAAACGTATCCAAGGGTTTTAACATCAGAAACGGATGCAAGCAGGGAGACGTTCTTGCTCCTATGTTATTTGGAATGTACTTTGCTGTGATTTTACAGTATGCATTCAAAGAACTGAGGGAGGGTATTTACCTGCACACACGTTCTTGAACAGGAAAACTCTTCAACCTTTCAAGACTGAAGTCTAAAACCAAAATTTCTACAGTCCTTGTTAGAGAACTGTTGTTTGCCGAAGATTCAGGACTCCAATAGTGGACTGCAACAACTGATCACTTGCTTAAAAAATGCATGTGGATAATTCTCCTTGATCGTCAACTTAAAGAAGACAGTGATAATGTCACAAGGGCCTGTTAGATCCACCACCAATAAGGATGAATGACCATACTTGGAGGAACAATATCACGTAATCTTTCTGTTGACGCAGGGTTCCCGGAACGGCGCCCTCAGCGGCGAGTGCGAAGCACAACTCAGGGTCAAAAGTGGAACGTGAAATTTGGATATTATATGGTTTTGTAGTCAGATTTGCGAGAAAAACTTCAGCCGTATTTCTCGACTGAGATGTCAGTAGGAGCTGTAATTTGTATGGCAAGGAGATTGACCAACCCTTCATTCATATTAAAGGAATTTACACCCAGAAACTTTGTAGTTATTAATATTTTGGTTATAATAGAAAATATTCATTTTTTGGTGACGTCAGACTCACATTAGTTAGCATGCATACGTCATAAGCTAGATACGTCACCTTTTCCTGGTAAGGCAAACTTTCCCGGCGTGCCTTTTTCATGGATAAACAAACACCACTGCTTTGCACATGGATGCCTTGCCCAAGCCAGGGCTACAAGAGGCGCATTGTTAGCATTTTTAGTGTAAGTGTACGATGAGATGATAAAAATACACCACACTAATTTATATGTAGAACTGTACAATTTATTCCAAGTGAAAAGCGTATTTACAAAAACACTTGAGAAACAAGTTGATGAGAAACAAGTTGATGATATATACAAATTGATAGAAAGCGAAAGTAATGTGTACTCAGGGAGGACAAACTGAGGAGTGTCTGTAAAAGTACAAATGTATGTGATATAGCATCACCTTTCATACCATCTGACCAATGGATTAGTAATTGCCTGTCCTTATCAAGTACCTGGGTAACTCATCAACATTCCCAAATGATGTGTGATCCAGGGTTGCCAGATAGTCGACAGGCTTCACGGCCAAACACACGCCATCTCACGGCCAAATTCGGCCAAACTTTTTTTCAATATCGGCCAAAATTCGGCCAGATTTTAATCCGATTAGAAAAGACAGTTATGTGGGTACATATTCATTTGAAATACTGCAAAAATTACAGGAAAATCAGGGGCCGTTCGTTTGAAATTGAAGACATTCAAATAATATACACAGAACAATGTTAAACTTCTTTTAATTAATCTATCACCATAAAATACGGTACATGCCCAGCTACATCATAATATTAATTTAATAAATACTTTTTATCTAAACTTTCTAAATTCGCCTCTGAATGTTATTGTCGCAGTACTTAAAGTAATAAATCAATGTTGCTATCAGAATTATCGTCTTCATTCTCATATGCAACCGAACTCCAGAGTCTCTGCAAAACTTGCTTGAAATTGGAGGTGCCATCGGACCCGGATAAGCACGTCGAGCATTTATATATGGCGCTCTACATAAAGAACACTGCAGCACCTAGGGCTATACAATTCAAGTGGGCAATAATAAATCAATTAAGTACAGTATTTAATTATATTCAAAAGAAATTCAAAAGAGATAGAACCTCCACTAGAATGGAACAAAGACACACAGTATGGTACAAACTTGCATTGAACTTCATAAAAAATATGTATTTCATCCGAACAATTTAAATTATTAAATGTAACTTATCTTTTAAATAAACTCTCTTACCTCACATCAGCTAAAGGGGGAACATAGATTAAGTGTTTAGTGCAAACAAAGGTACATGATTCAGGGGCGGATCCATGATTTGAAAGAGGGGGGTTCAAAACGTTTCCAAAAATACCCAAAATGAAAGGGGGTCCGGGGGTCCTCACCATGGAAAATTTTCCCTTGAATCCGCCACTGTATTGGGAATCCTTTAACGCTCAGGTGACCTAGGGTTTTAAAACAAATACCGTATAGGCCTATACTCACGTATAAACGAGGCTTAAAATAGCAAACTACGATCGAAAAAAGGGGGTCGTCTTATACGCAGGCCATTCAGATTTTAGATTTTTATATTTATATTCATGTTCGTCTTATGTGCGGATGTTAGTCTTATGTGCGGATCGCCCGTAAATCTGGTTTTCTACTAGATGAATTTATTCACGCGAATCCAAAGCGTCGGCTTATGCACATGCGCATTCACATTCCTATCGGAGTTTTTGAGAAGCGAAAAAATGCGCAACCAATCAGAGCTCAGGAAGCGAGCCGACTCTTTGATTCGCGCGAATAAATTCGCTTAGTGAAAAACCAGCTTAACACGCGAACTTACTACTGCAATGAAGCAACCAAATGTTGTATCAATGAAAGCAATTTTAAATATGGGAAAATACGATTTTGGTGGTGAAGATTTAAAAACTCATAAAATGGTATTATTTGGAAGATTACCCTTGCATTTGGCTCCATTTATCCAGCTAGACGCAGTATACAGGACCACAAAAAATTAGGAATTCCGACCATGAAACAGGGAGTCGTCTTATACGCCAGACATACAAATATCAACCAAAAATCTTCTAAAACTCGGGGGTCGTCTTATACACGGGTCACCTTATAGGACGAGTGTATACGGTATTATTACGGAACCCCTGCGGAAGTTCGGGTTCCCGTCACATTTTAAACGGTTGGTTGTAACAATAAACTCGCAAGACTGCTCGCGGCTACTAGATTCTACAAGTGCGTGGTTGGCTGGGTTGTTTTGGTCGGAAAAGAGAAATGTTCTCTGTGAATTGATTCTCGAACGAGATAAAGAAAGCTCCCTAATGACTCAAGCAACTGTATACCATTTTTATATTTTTAATAAAACCAATTTCTTCTAATTTCAAATACGTTTTCCCCTGATTTTGTGATAATTCGTTATCACGCAAGTGCTAAATGCGTGACACAATTCAACCCTGGCCATCAGGTGCAAGCTCGGTGGTCTAAAGGCATGATGCCAGGCTAGTGATCTGGAGAATGTGGGTTCGAGTCCCACTGGAGAAAAACTTGCAAATATATTTTGAAAGTGTTTTCACACGCACTGAGTATTCAGTACATTTTCACGACAGGTTGGGCAAAATTACACATATAGACCCCCCTAATTGATTCTCCTGGCGTAAATCCAGGTATTGTATATTCCATCACGATAATAACAATTACCATTCAATAATAGAACAGTCATCGACCTACTTGCAGTGAAGTGAATCTAAAATGTATTCATGAAGTTATGAAGATCTGAAGTGTTTAAAAACGTACACAATAATAGTTGAACCAACTTTAAAAAATCACAAATACAATGTGCGTGACGATGTTTTATTGCTTTAGAAATGTGATTTCAAAAAGTGTATTAGTGAATCACGCACTGAGTATTCAATACATTTTCACGACAGGTTGGGCAAAATACATATAGGCCCTAATTGATTCTCCTGACGCAAATCCAGGTAGTCTATTCCATCACGATGATAACAATTACCATTCAATAATAGAACAGTCATCGACCTACTTGCAGTGAACTTAATCTAAAATGTATTTATGAAGTTATGATGATCTGAAGTGTTTGAAAACGTACACAATAATAGTTGAACCAACTTTAAAATACTGTACCACAAACACAAAATGTGCGTGACGATATTGTATTGCTTTAGAAATGCGATTTCAAAAAGTATATTAGTCCATCGTATACGTAAGGGCTTGTATCGTTGTTTTTTTTTTACTTGCAGCGTTTGGGAAATAGGTAGGCCTAATAGGTAAATTGTAATGAATATAATCAATAACTATAGCCTCTAAAACCTAATATTATTGAAGGGTCTTTTTAAAGTTTGAATAGGATTTTTTTTAAGTTAAATTTTTAGATCATTATACCTATTGAATGAGCCCCCAATAGCCCCGGGCCCCAGTGCTGTGCACTGACTGCACTGCCCATACCTACGCCCTACCTGAGTATTATTAATTAGTGGTTACATTTAGCCGCGTTTAAGTTATAATCATGTCGCCTGTTTTTACGTTCATGTCGAGTTGGTGGAACAACGCTAACTTCTGCCCCAGTGTCGATGAGGAAGCGTTGGTTAGAAAACTTGTTCGTGATAAAGAAAAGGCGACTTACAGGATGGCCAGCAACGTTCGTCGCTTTTAGTTGTTGACGTTGGCGTTTCCCGAACACGGTGGAAGACATTTGCGTGCATTATCACCAAATTTCAAATGGTACCAACAAAGTGATGGCGTCTTATCATCGGCTGATCGTGAAGAGCGATTGCGCGATGAAGAGCGATTGCGACCTTATGATCGACTGTGATTTCGGCTTCCGCTTCTGGGTCGAGATCGTTGATCCGCTTGCCAAGATTCAAATTTTTGGGTCAATTGTTGAATCTGCAATTGAAGTGTGTGAATTGTGGCAGATTGTGAGGGCAGTTCCTCTGGGTGGACGGAAGAAACATTCGACGGTGGCACAGATATTGGGGAGGTGGCAGATACCTCCAATATTTTGTCGGCAAGTGTAGTTAGGCCTGGCATATCTAGCTCATCTTTTGCAGAAGCCAAAATTAACAGAACATTGGCTGGAAGACGACTTAAGAACAATTGCTTCATAATTGTTGGTTCAAGGGTTCGGTCGCCGAGCAGTTCCAACATCCTGCGATATAATTGGGAGGGTTTTCGATCTCCTAACTCCTCCTCTGTCAAAATTTGTCGGAGACGCTTTTGATCGGAGTCAGATGTCCGTTTTATTAATGCCTCCTTTAATTGTACGTACCTATTGTCCTGTGGCGGGTAAAGTAGGAGATCGCGCACTTCTTGGGCTATCTCCGGTTGCAAGGAGCCCACCAAATACGCGTACTTCATAGCGTCCACCGTGATATGCCTGGCTGTAAACTGTGCCTCAACCTGTGTGAACCATAATGTTGGATCATTGGGCCAGTAGGGTGGAAGTTTCAGAGAAACTGATGATATTGCAGGCGGTGCAGCATCTAAAGCAGATACGACAGGTTGTTGCTGTTGAACTTATTGCTGTTGTCCTTCCATTATTAACTTGATGCAAAGAGTG